CCAAATAGTTCCAAAGTGGCCTTTGCCTTTTGCACCTGTTGTTTCCTGCTGTACGATGAGCTGTGCAGACAGTTTCTTTCATCAAGAAGACATGGGTGCAAATGGTGGTACAATTAGGCATCTGGGCACCCCATGGGTTCTTACCAACTCTGGAGTGAAGATGCGTTGATGGCGGGGGACAAGGCTATCGTCTGAGTCATATGCACGAGCGTTGCCATCTGCAACTGTAATTCTAGCCACGTGGTCAATCGTAAGAAGGGGTTTATAATCAGCTTTTACTGCATTTGTGGATTGTGATGATTAAACAACAGATGGGGAACCCAACCAAGATCTCTAATCTCTACCTCTTCACTGACGGAGTGAGCGAGGGCTGAGGGCGTCAGTTCGTGATCCCTGTCTAGGGCTGAGTCTATAATTAGGGCAGGCACCCATCTGATTTTCTGAGTCTGTTTTCTACATTCATTTGTATCAGACCACAAACACTGGTTTTTGGATTTAAAAGGATGGTTCCTGAATCCTGGGAAAGTCTAGGAAGCCCATGAGGAAGAGGAAGCTCCTCATTTAGGGTTGCCAGATAAAATACAGGATACTCAGTTAAATTTAAATTTCAAATAAACAATAAATATATTTTAAGTTTAGGTATGTCCCAAGTATTACACTTTTTTTTTAAAGGCCAGATGCTTTAACATTTTTTTCTATTAAAATGCTCTTTAACATTGTGGTAAAATGTAGATAGCATAAAAAAAATATATACACACTATTTTAACCATTTTTAAGTGTACAGTTCGGTGGGATTAATTAAGTTCATTCACAATGCTGTGCAACCATCACCGCTATCAATTTCCAGAACTTTTCCATCATCCCAAATTCTGTACCCATTAAATAATAGCTCTCTATTGTTATTCCCCCCAAGTCCTTGGTACCCTCTAATCTGCTTTCTGTCTCTTCGAAGCAGTGGAATCATATATAATATGTGTTCTTTTGTGTCTGGCTTAGCTCATTTAGCAGAATATTTTTAAAGGTCCCCTCTGATATAACATGTATCAGAATATCATTCCTTTTTAAGGCTGAATAATATTCCATTGTATGTACGTAACCACAGTGTCTATCCATCCATCTGTTGATGGATATTTGGACTGTTTCCACCTTTTGGCTACTGTGAATAATGCTGCTACACACGTGGACGTGCAAGTATCCATTTGATTCCCTGTTTTCAATTCTTCTAGGTCTGTGTACCTAGAAGGGAAATGCTGACTCGATGGTAATTCTATGTTTAACATTTTGGGAAACTGCTGTACTCTTTTCTATGGTGGCTGCATGGAATAATGGAATATTTTTATTTGTTAAACCTGACAACCCTCCAACTTTTGAAGAGCATTTTGATCTGAATATATTTAACCTAAATTTTCATATATCATTTGTCATAAATTATCATTTTACACAGAAATGAGTAATAACCATCTCTATCTTGGAACCTGTGGGCATCATTTCTCAGTTCAGACTCTAGGAAACTTCCACATTTTCCACTAGAGTGAAGCACAGGCAGCGATTAGGAAGAACTAAAACACTTGTCTTTTAGTCTATACAAACTGGGCAGCTTGCTGCCTGTCAGAAAGGGGAATTAAGACAAATCGTTTGTTCATTCATTCATTCATTCAACAAATGTTTATTGTACTTGCCCAGTAAGTGCCAGATATGAGTTGGGGGCTCCCATATGACAGTGAATGAGAAGCTTCTCCTTACCCCCAATTTAGCTCCAGCCAGGTTTCCCTCTGCCCCTGACCTGTGCACATGCTGCCCCTTCTGTGTGACGCGCTTCCCCTCCTGCCCATGCCAGGCATCTGACTCACCCTGAGACTTCTGCTCCCATTGGCCATGATGCTCAGGGGCGGCTTCCCTGACCCTCTCCCACACTCACAGCTCTCTACGCTTCGCTTTATAGCTCCTTCCATGATAGTCACGAGACACGTGTGTGGTTATTTGACTCACCAACATCTCTGTCTCTAGATTGTAAGTCCCTGAAGGCAGGGGCCATTTCTGTTATGCTTAACTGTCTCCTAGGATCTAGCAAGACACATAGTAGACATTTAATATTAAATACATTGATTTTAAGGATGAAGGCATGCATAAATTCTTCCCTCAAGCGCTAGTGAGAGAGAGACAAGTAAGCACATCAATATCTATGTAAGTAGTTACCAGTGAAGGGCTCTGGGAAAAAGAGCAATTCTGTTGAAAGAGAGCGAGCTTGGATGGGGGCCAGGGGCACAATAGAATCAAGGCCAAAGATGTGCTCCCGACTTCTTTGCAAAAGGGAGGTGGAGAGAATTTAGGGATGGGAGCATCTGCAGGGCTTTATCCTCACTGCATGTACAACACAGATTCACACAACTCAACAGAACTACTCCATTGGCTCGGCTGTCAGAGCTCAAGACTCAAAATTAATTTAGGCCAAATGCCCACTAGAGACAGGAAAGCCAACATGCGCATGACCTTCCTAAGGTCACAGAACTAGAGGCAGAACCGAGACTCCTGGTCTCCCAAGCTCTGGGACAGTTCTTTCCCATTTCCTCAGCATGTCCAAATTCAAGGGCAGAGGAGGATTGGTGCGTTTCAAACCCTTCTAAAGCTTTCTTTGAAGTCCCACAAGGTTTACAAATAGTTAGCTGGGAATACAAATGTGCCTACCCAAGAAGAGGTGAGATGAAGGGGTTGGGGGAGGAAAAAGGGAAGGAAGGAAGCAAATCCAGAGAGGCCACCTGCCATGGCTCTGGAGTTGTGCCCTGCCAGGGCAGTTATGCGTGAGGCTTGGCAGTACAGCAGGGCAGGCCGCGGGTGCTCCGGAAGGCTGCGCTTCAATTCCCAGCGGAGGCAGTCAGGGCTTCAGGATGGAGATTTATTAGTGGAGCTGTGCTCCAAGCCGCAGCAACCTGGCTCTGCTGATGATCTGAGGCCTGGGGTGGGGAACGCAGGGTGGGGTGGGGAGGCTCTAGAGGCTGCAGCCTGCTCTTTGCAAACTGCACTTTTTTCCAGGGAAGGCTGTTTGAATCAGGACAGAGGAGGGTTCCTACCTGACCACAGCTGTCCAAGCCTGTGGTTTGTGTGAGGAGCCCAGAATGAAGTGCCCCAAATCCTTTACTTTTGTGCTGGTGAGGGGCTGTGGTGGGTGCCTCTGTCTGCACAAGTGCCTGGCTGGCCCTTGGCTCGGGGCTTTGAGACGCCCTGTGTGGGCCCTGCGTAGGCTGGGTCCTCTGTGCAGAGAGGGGCCCCACCAACCTGGGGCCTTCGGGCAGGAGGAGCGTTGAGGAAAGGCTCTGATCACTTCCGCCAGGTGGGCAAGAGTCCTCAGCTGAGGGTTCTCTTTCTCTTACAGCACTCGAACAGTGCCCCTGCACACACAGTTGTCCTATGGGGTTTTCTGGCAGGGGACAGAGAGGGAACATCCTGTCCCATCCTCTGGATAAGCTGCAGGAATAACGGGGCTCAGGGCTCCCTTTGGTGGCCTCTCGCCCGGTGTGCGGGGAGAACACCGAAGGAATGTCCTTCCTCCAGGAGCTCCTTTTTCCTCTGGGTCACTGAGGAAAGGAAGGACTGAGGAGGACCAGCCTTGGCCTGGAGGGAGCAGGCCTCGAGGCTTGGGAATTTGAAGAGGCGGGAATTCAGGGGCAAGCGTGCCTCTGTCTTGGTCCTTAGGCTTCTTAGGACCCCTCTCCTTTTGCTGATGGGAATGGGTGTTCAAGTTACCATGAAGGCCAGGGCTGGACAGAAGGAAGCTCTGAGAACCGACGCAGGTAGCATTTCATACTCTGATCATCACCCCCTTAGCTCACACCCCACTCCCTGGGGGAAATATTTTCCGCAGGAGTTTTGTTTAGCTCAGCCTGGGATGAGAGGCCGAAGCTTATGAGAACTGGAACAGAGTCATCTTTTCCATTTCTCCTTCAGGCTCCCCTCCCCTGCTCCTCCACCACCACCAACGTGGCGAGGCAAAGGCTCCGCGGCATCCAGATGGGTCCCGTTTCCCTCAAGGATGGGCCCGTTCCAACTTCATTTCACTGCGTCCCCTGTGGTTTATATAAACATTTCCAGAAGGATACAGATAAGAAAGAAAGAAAAAAAAAGATCTTATGTAAACACTAGATGGCTAGAGACCAGGAGATATTATTAGTTTATTAGGGCTTTTAAAATACCCAAAAGCTCAACTAAAGGAAAGTGGAATTTGCTTTTCATTTTAACCTCTGTTATTGTTGCCTGGGTCAGTAATACAATAGAAGCAGGCATCTCAGGAGACACACGATATTATAAAGATCACAGGGAGGGCAGTGAGGGAAGTTGCAGAAATACGAGTCTGGTGACCTTACCAGCCAGTGAGGAATGGGGACAGGGAGTCGGGGAGTGGTACTTTCCATAAATTAAGGAAGGCCAAAGAGTGATGCAGATTTGACAGCACCTTCCTGCTGTTCTGTAACGGAGATTACCTGGCTCCCAGCCTCCTCTGGAACCCTTCCCCCCCGCTGATCCTGCCTTTGGTGCTTGTTTCCTGGGGCACAGCAGACTCTTCCCCCGGCAGCCTCTCTGTGTGCTGTTCCTTCAATGTGGCAAGCTGTTCCCAGGCACCTTGCTTAGCTGACTCCTCATCCCTTCAGCTTTTAGCTTAAATATCACCAGCACAGAGAGCTTCACTGGTCAACTATGAGGAGGCATATTTGTGAGATCACTGTTTTGGAAATCTGTCAGGCAAGTCTTTGAATTAAAATGGCCCTACGACCAGGTAGCCCATTACCTACCACCATTATATTTTCATTTTATAAATAAGCCAGACAGGCAATTAACCTAGTGATTCCACATGAAAGTACTGAGAACCATTGTCCCAAGAGAGTGAGAGTGAGCGGTTTTTGGGACATAGGACTTCCATGGAAGTCTTGAGCAAACTGGGATGATTTGGCCACCCCAAGTCTCCTTTGTCTCCAACAAAAAAAACACGCAACAAAATATCTCTGGTATAATGTTTATTTAAATAGTAATCTTAAAAAGGCTTTATACAAATCATATAAACACAGTTTGACATTGTTGTTTGTTTATTTTTTACATTGAAGAATCACAGTAAAAGCTCTCAAGTTCCCGTGATCTGGCTCAGCCAGCGAATGGTCGAATACCTTTAACTGCAAACCCTGGAAAAGTTAACCTTCTGTATGATGGTTTCACTTTTCCCCTTGTTTTCTTGCCATTCATGCTCATTCCTTGGACCCTCATCTCTGTCAACTCCTCATTCCCACCTAAGAGAGAAAGCAACCCTGTGGCCCTGTTGACCATCTAGTCCGGGAGAGCGTGGAGGTAATGTGTCATTCAGTACAAGGCAAAAAAGGAGATCAATACTGTGAGTTGGGTTTCCCAAAGGGAATGACTTAAGGAGATGGGTCAGCCAGTCTACCTGCAGATAGACAACAACTGCACCAGGGTGCCCCCTGGCCAAGTTATATAGTTGGGCCCTACTGTCTTTCTATGTCATAAGAGCCCAGCCTCCAGCGTTGGTGAGGTATCTACATGCAGCCTTGGGTAGCCTGCTTTTTGTTCAGCATTCAGGGCCTACGGTGACTATGGATACAGAGGGATGCAGGTTGAGTTGTACATAACTTAGAGGTGAACTGCAGGCTGGAGACAGGGCTGGTCTTTGGGGAATTGCAAAATGGCCCACTGGGCATGAGATGGCCAGACCCCCAGAGTAGATTTTTGAACTTCTATTCTGCAGGCTACTTCTGGAAATCCCTAGGACTTGCTAGCTTCCTGAACACTGAGCTACATGGGAAAGTGAAGAGGAGGGTAGACTAATTAAAAACTTCCTTCTGTTGTATGCCCAGCTCAGGGGGTGCCTAAAGCTAAGCCCTTGGGCTTGACAGCTTTACTTTTCACCTCTAACTACCACTGTGCCAACAAACGCCGAGATCAGCAGTTAACTCAGGCCCTAGGTCAAAGTCAAAGTCACAACAACAACACCGAGTCCCACGTGACCATTCACATACACAGTAGATACAGAGAACGCAAAGGCGGCTAAGACGCGTACACATATGAATAAATAGCTGTCGGTATGAACTCTCCCTCTCTGCATACAAAACACTGTGACATTACCATTTGAACTAGCATTTCCATAAGCTAACATTTAAAGGAAACTGCCAGTCCCATTCACCCTTCCCCTTTCACCTGGACAAATGAAATTGTGGGTGACCATAGCAGCAAAAATGGTCAGACAGTTTACCACTGATATGCAATAGGCTGGGCACACTGGTTGGGTTTCAAATGTATTTCCAGCACACAGGCAATCCTTAGGCATTGCTACAAAATCAGATTTGGACCTTGATGCGGACAATCTTATCCTTCACACAGTTTCATTCTGTTCCTGATGCCTCCCCTTCTGGAGTAGTTGGGAGTCATCTAGGGCTATGACTACCACTTGGGTAGCAGGGCTCATTCCATTAGTAGGATCAGCGGTGAAGTGGGGCAACTGGGAGTGGAGCCATTGGGGTTAGGGAGGGGGAATGCCTTAACTTGTATGATATTTACTGATTTTGACAGAGGGAAAATACATTTTTCTTTACTTTTTCAAGGCACTTAATAAAAACACATAAACTTGGGGGTGTGTGTGTGTGTGTGTATGTGTGTGTAAGAATATTCGTCTCTCTGGGGTTCAAGCAGCGTTGTTATGTTTTGGTTCATAGAGCTTGCAGACTTCTGGTTAGACTTCCACCCATCCTAGCTCTGACTCTCCTGAAAGGATAGGGTGGTGGCTGTAAGCCCTAAGGAGAAATCAATGTTTACTAGTTTATCGGAGAGACTAACCCATCAAAATGTCTCTGTACAATCTGCTCAGCCTTTGCTATCACATGATCACAGATATTGGACTTCTTCCTTCTCCACTGTTTTCCTTCCCACCTAGGGCACAAGTTCCCTCACACTGACAGGGAAAACATACCAGTAGCCTGTATCTCCTCGCCCCACCTTTGAGAATATCAAAGGATGAGTGTGTGTGCACATGTGTACACGTGTGCACCTGTGTGTGTGTACATGTCTCAGAAGAACAAGGAGGGGGGAAAAGAAAAAGCAAAACCACCACCAGAGGCCCCACGAAGTAGCCTCACAGCCATAAATTCTGGTCTGAATGGCTCCTATTCACAAAGCAAGTTAAGGCTTGTCCACTTCTAACATGGAGGTGCTTTCTATGGATTTTGACATGTGTAGTTTCCTTTCTGGTTTGTTTTAAATCACATATAAGAAAGAGCTGTTCATGCTGACCCTAAAATGGCAATTTTCCCCTGGATAAAAAAAGTTAAAGGCAACAACATCCTACTTAAACGCTAGGACTGGAAACGGCAGCTTGTAGGGTTAGCTGGCAGAGCCTACGCCCAGCAAATCTCATCAGTCATGAGAGGATCAGAGGACAGGATAAGCTGGACGGCTTTTTTTTTTTTTTTTTTTTAGTTTTTTTCCTAAAGATGGAAAGTCTGAAAAGACTCTGCTTTTCAAGTGTTGATTAGAAAGAGAAAGCAAAGGATAATGATCACCCCTCTGCTTCTATACTGGAAAAGTCTTTCTCTTCTGCCTCTTTGAGTTGCTCACAGACCAAAGAAATAAAATATAATAATAATAATAATAATAATAACAAACTCACAAACAAAATAGAACTGTGACCCCCAAAGAGATGAGCTCCCGTCTTTGTCCCAGCAATGACTCGGCCACCGCGGTATTTGGTGGGTCATAACCCCCAGTGCGGCTGCATCTCCCCCCATCCCTAGACTTGCCTGTCTGTCCTGTCCACACCTTCGGTATTCTAGATCGGTTTGATCGAGATTATGGCATTCAGTTTCCAAAGGAAAAAAAAACCTGTAATCTTCACTAGCCCCTCTTGCTGGAATGAAACGTCAGGTGTGATTCGGGTGCAATCCGTCATGCCTCTGAGCAGCACTTCTGGTGGTTCATCTTGACTTTGTGCTTTAGGCCGTCATAGAGCTCGAAGTTGTAGTTCTCCAGCGTGGTGCAGCTGCGGGAGCTCAGGCCGGAGTAGGAACAGGTGCAGTAGAGCAGAAGCCCTGCACACGTGGCCCCCAGGAGGACGCCCAGTGAGCTCATGGCGATAATGGTGATGAGGATGGGATCCAGTGTGTAGAGCCAGCTCTTTTCTTTGTTGGCAGAAGGGGCACTGGACCCTGAAGTTGCGGAAGAAGCGTTGCTCCAGTCCACTTCGTACTCATCTGTGATATAAAGCACATGGCAGATTGCAAGCAATGCTTCTCCCTCCAGGTGAAATACCTGAGCCTCCCCAGCCCAGTTTAGAGGTTCTACAGAGCACAGATAGGAAGCTGGAACTTACACCGCTTGGCTTCAAAGCCCAGCCCTGCCGCATTCCAGCTGTGTAACTTTGGGCGAGTTATCTAACCTCTCTTTGCCTCAGTCCTCTCATCTGTAAAATGGGGATACTAAGAAAGTCTACCTCATTGGATTATTAGGGGGAATTAAATGAATATTTATAAGGTGCTTGGTGTCCAGCACACAGTAAGTATAGTCCAAGTACTTGATACTTAAATAATTTGACTCATGTTAAGTAAACACATTATAACAGCACTATCAGGGTGGCTTTGGAGCACCTGGGATGGCCCTGTGTCTGGGCACCCTTCTTTCTTTGCCTCCTCATCCCTTACTTCCAACGGCTTTGAGTTAAATCAAAGGACAGGCTGAGACTGTTTTCTCATAGTGAGTGTCTCAATTCAGCATTTCTGACCATCCAAGCAGTAGATTTTTTTCAAGCCACCAGACCTCACTTGACATATCTCTTACCTCACTAATAGGTTGAATTACATACCTTCCCCAGATTCATGTGGTAAAGTCTTAAACCCCAGGACCTCAGAATGTGACCTTATTTGGAGACAGGAGCTTTACGGAGGTAAGCAAGTTAAAATTGGGCAGGCTCTTATTCAATGTGATTGGCGTTCTCTTAAAAAGGGGACATTTGGAGGCAGTCACAGATGGCAGAATGCCGTGTCGATATAGAAGTGGCCATCCATAAGCTAAAGAGAAAGGCTCGTAACATTTTCCCCTCACAACTCAGAGAAAACCAACCCTGTTGGCACCTTGATCTTGGACTTCCAGCCTCCAGAAAGGTGAGAAATACATTTCTGTTGTTTAAGACACCCAGTCTGTGGTACTTTGTTAGGCAGCCTGAGCAAACCAATATATTTCTATAGTGTGGCCAAGGCATGCCCACTTCATGACTCATTTTGTAGGATTTCCTAATAATTCTGTGAAGAAAGCAAGGTGATGGATACATTTTGTAATATATGAGGAAACTAAGGTTTTAAGAAATTAGGTGGCTAGGTAACTCACTCAAGCTCCCAGAGTTAGCAAACAGGTACACTGAGACTTGCATCCAGGCTTCCTGCCTCCTCCTGCCTTTCTCTCTGTCACCGCCCCCCCCCTCCCCGCCACCCTACCCCCAGTGGTGCTGCTGCTGCTGCTGGTCTGTGGCAGCCTCTCTGTGGAGGCCAGTTGCGCAGCTTTGCCCATAAAAGGAGCGTTAGACAGGGTTTTGCAGGGAGAGTCTGCATTCAGTTAACAAGGTGCTGTTTGGATTAGTCACTCTGTTGCTATAACTACACTTGAAGTGTTTGACTAAGGCCAGGTTAAAAGCAGCTGCTCTATAAACTGCTCTTCTTAAATGCATCAATCTTGATCTAGTGCTGGTCTTGGAGGGGCACCTTAGCGATCCCTCTCGGAGATCAACTCTGGCACTCTGAGAAGCCCTGGGAGACCTGTGCTGCTCTGAGCCGGGGGAAGAAATTACATCTAGGTGGTTGCTCAGTGGCCCTCCAGTCAAGACATGTGCTTCAGCCTTTTGAAGTATGTGTGTTTGAAGGGGAAAATAGAGTTTGGAATAAATAGGAAAATACGAGGTGGGCAGTGTGAAAAAGAAACATAAATCTTGCAGCAAGCTCCAACTTGGGAGTCCTGGATAGTGTGAGAAGGGTGGCTACAAGCCAGAGATCTGAAAACCACAGCAGGCCTGGGAGAAAACTTACATTTACACGCATTCACTCAGGCCCTTTTAGGAAGAAGGTTAATGGGTTCAAGCCATGACTTGTGTAGAAGAGCCTGGCTTTCACTTCTAAAAGGTTTATCCAGATTTGAAGTTCATCAATGTTGAAAGTTGCCTGAAGTAGGGGACCTGTTTCAGATTAGGCAGAAGGAACTCAATAAACTTTCTAAACTCTAAATTTAACCTTGACGGAGCAATTGGTGGTTTCTAGCCTTCTAATACCCTTCTAATATGCTGGGCATTATTTTTGTTGACGTCTTTATAACCAAACTTGAATTTCATGATTATATGCTAAATCATAGCAATACTCACCATCAATTTCATCTTCATAGCCCTCTCTCCCATGTATTTCTGGGATGTCCACTATAATGAAAAAGAAAATAGACAAATCAAGTTATACTAAGTTCTACCACCATGGCCAAAAGGCAGAGACTCAATGTTTCTGAGAATGACTCCCCAGGATGGCGGGCAGTAGAGCATCACATCTGCTTCTAGATCACATATTGGGCATATTACTGGAGCCTTCCTCCTTCAAATGCTTTGGTTTTACTTCCAGTAGCCAGAAGAACAGAAACAATAAGAAAGGCCTTTAGTGCCAAGTAAGTCCTCATTTGGATCTTTATAGTGATTGTCTAAGGCAACTTAAACGACATTCTATGCCCATCCTCAGTTGCCATTACTGTGATGTTCATTTAGTATAACATGCTGCTGCTCCTTATATGCATGCATCTAAGTGCACACAAAGTACGAGTCTTTCTCTTCTGGATTTCAAATAAACGTATGGTAATTTAAGGAAGTCATGTTTCATTGTTATATATTTTAATGTAGACATAGAATTGGAAAGAACATCATAATGCCTATTCACCTTCACATATTTGTGCTATTTCTCTTATCTTTCTTTCCCTGTTTATTTTTTCTATTGGCTTTTTTCAGTTTAGAAGAGATCAAACATGGGCATCCAATCTGACTAGCCCAGGCGTGAATAGGGCTAAGTTAATTTACTCCGAATTTTCTACAGTATTATCACTACTTTTTTCTTTTCTTTTTATGATAATTTTTTTGGGGAGGGCATAATACAGGTCTCTCTATTCATTATGTTGTCCATCTTATAGAACTCAGAGCCAGTAAAAATTACCTGTTTAAAACGGTAAAACATTAAAAAAAAGGGAATAAAATATATAGTGAAGAGTGGGCTTTAGCATTTCTTCCAATCTCACAAGTTAAGTATGCTTGTCGCGGCTGTCAGCAAAATGGCACCAAGTGAATGTATGTGGCCCTTTGGGAGTTCTATTCAACCCAAAGTCAGGTGGACAACCTTGAAGTCAGGACCATACGTTAATATCCAAAAATCAAGGCTTAAACAAAACTCAAATTGCAAACAACTAAAGTATCAAACAAAAAAGAGAACATCAGACCAGCCTGAAATTCTCTCTGATCAGCACAACATCTCAAGGAAGATCTGTTTGACCATGACCTGAACTGAGGATCGACCTATCATAGCCACACATAAAATTCAGTCTTTTCCTGGAAGCAGTAGTCATAATCGTGTTAGAAGACCTCCTCATTCTTGGCCAAAGTGCTAAAGCACATTCTCATCCTCTTGGTCGCTAGGAAGCCACGCACAAAACAATGTGCCAAGACCCCACTTGAAAGGATTGACGCCATGTGGCACTGATCTTCCATAAATCCAGCCTGCTCCTGGCACGTTTATAGCATACCAACTGGCACCCACAGGTCAGGCCAGCTTCCCAACCCCAGTGCCCATCCCCTGTGTTGTTCTCTGGGCCCCTACATTGCAGCTTGTTTTCTTGGAATGAAGACATGAATGTGAATCAACCAGAGGCAGGTGGTGTCTGTCATAGGGATCAAATCAAGCTTGTGAAAGTCAGCACAGAGATTTCTTTTTTAACCTTACCAAAAAACCCCCAAAAAACAAAAACAAAAACAACAACAACAACAACAAACAAACCCCAAAACATGGAAGAAAGCCATCGCATTTCCAACAATTAATAGTTTTGATGGGATGCTTGTAGATCTTAACACCGTCATGGTTAAAAGATGTAGAACACAGGATAAGACTGTATGAATCAGCCTAGAGCAAAAATTGTGGTGCTCCTGCCAGTGAGTTTTGGGCCAAATCCTGTTCTTGCCTTTAGGTAGTTGGTCCTTGCCAAAGTTGTGATGCAGTTTTGGAGGCTAGACTGCCATCTTATTCCATCTCACTGTCTCAGGGAAGAACTCTTAGGATGCCATTGATGATGGGCTGGAAAGGGGTGGATGCGGCATGAATCTTAAAGGAAAATCGGTAAGAGGGTGGTAATGACTATGAGAACATTTTGTCCCAGGAGATCATAGCCTCTTGTCTCTGGAGGCAGAGGACTGGATGAGGTGACCTCCTAAGAATTAATTGGTCCATTTCAAAGAAATTGGACCAATGAAATTGGTCTACAAAATTGATTGCCTAGATGTGACTGATATTTCTGCAGATTCTGGAGAATCAAAGCCTACTTAAGGCAAAGAAGAACACATTAGAGGCTTAACTTGGCTTTTGACTGCTCCCAGCAGTTTGGGTGAGTGAGAAGGGGTTGAAAAAAGGATAAGTTAATCAACATTTTCAAAAGCGCATCTGCTCACCAAGCCTTAAAGAAAGAATGGCACACTGGGGAAAACCCAAATAAAGGGAACACTCATACAAAAAGCAATTTAACTTGATAGCAATTTTCTCAAGTCCCTTTGCTAATATTCTTGATATCTGTGTTTGATTAAGAGCTTTCTTCCTCAAAATTTCCTTTGCCCTTCACGGGCCACCTTCCTTTTCTTTTGAGCCTGGTAGGCAAACCTCAGCCTGTTTCCTCAGGGTGCTGGTGGGAAAGAATGTGGTTTGGCCACTGGGTTCCTAGAATTCCAGGAAAGAAGAGGCAAGGGTTTGGAGGAGGGAGAGTGATGAACTAGGAGCTCAAGGCACAGAGTGGAGGCAGCACCTTCCTGGGAAGGAAGAATGACAGCCACAGAATGGGGACCCAGCTTGGGAATAAGGCACAGAGCAAAAATATGTGGGCACCAGGGACTTGGAATTTTGTTTTTAATTTTTCTTTTTAATGAGGAAAAACTCAGAGAGAAGCTTCCAGGACTCTGTTTTAGTGGGTGGGTGTGGTTATGACTGTGAGATGGATGAGGGACTGTAGAATGGACCACACCTTTAGGAGAATACAGACCAGAAATGGATCTGACCACCCACATGACTTCCGCTTTGAACTTTTGTGCTCACATGACCCTATTTCCTTTTGCGCCCCTGTATGGGTTCAATCTCAGGCCAGTCTGACTCTCAGTGCTGTGCTGGGGCCAGAGCAGAGCCCCTCTTCCACAAGTCTGTACTCAAGTTCTCTGGGTGTGGGCAGGACACTACAACAGCTACCACATTACCATTATCCCATTCCAATAGAAATAAAGGTCTGCCTTGTCTTGGGTCCTAGTCAACTAGACACACACTCTCCAGCTGTTTGCCTGTGTCCATGGCTAACCACTTTGATAACTAATGAAGACCTCTCATGACTGTGACTGGGAAGATGTGGAGATCTGAAATGTGGGGCCTCACATTTTCCATGATAAGACATTACTCAGAGAGGGAAGGCTGATATAAGTTATTTTTCATTAACTGACAAACTAACCAATCAAGCAATCATCACTTATTAAGAGGGTTTTCTGGGTCTCAGGAACCACACTGAGGACCTTGGGAAAGGAAGATGTATGAGATCAGGTATTTATAATCAAGGCCCTTCTGTATGGTTGGGAAGCAAAGACTCCCCCTTGCCAAAATAGCCTACAAGACAGTGGGGCATCATGGAGGGGACTGCAAGTGCTCCTGGAGCCCAGGGCAGGGAGCGGGCAAATGAGGCAGGGCCATGGCCAGGAAAGACACCTGAGAGTGAGGAGGAGGTTGCTGCAGAATGGAGGCTGCATGGTGGGGCTGGGGATTCTAGGTTTCAAACATAGCATCTGAAGCTTTTTACTCATGCACTGATTTCTTGGTTGGGGGCTTGACTTCATTTTTATCAGATCCACTGAGAAATCCAAAGAGATCGCCTTGGCTGGCCACAAATCTTCCACCCTGTAGTTCCCAATGAGAGAGTCAGGTATCCATCCCCCTTTCCCTTCACCAACTGCTGCAGAGAGGAAGAGGAGCTCATGCATGCTGGGAAGGGAGTTTAACAGAATTTAAGAGTTGGAGTAATCAAGTGAGCAGAATAGCCTACTTGAAAAAAAACAAGCAAAACTCCCAATTCAACAAAACATGGTCATTTTCATATTGACATTGAAACTCAGACTTAAAGTCCTCTTTTTTCCCCAGGCGTCCCTTCCCTTAGCATTATCCAGAGGTGGGTTAGGGTCACAGTGATGAGTGGTTTAAGATAAAGCTTCCATTATCCTGATTTTTCAGAGCAAGAGTTATTCAAACATCCACTGGACAGCTCCAGGAACTCTCTTCACCCTGGAAGAGTCAAATATTCTCCAGTGTGCTTATCAGAAGATAGCAACACTCTGGCACGAAGGGTGAACAGTCATACCTAGGTAAGAACAGAACTTAGGCTAAGGAGATGTTTCCCTTAAGGGGTCTGGAACGCTGCCTGCTGGTGTAAGACCACATGTGCTGTTGCAGGGGAAACGCTGCAGACACTCCAACCCGCAACTGGGAGATTGCATGCTGAGCCTGATCTAGGTCTCAAACAAGAATGTTTTCTCTCCCAGTCCTTTGTCTCTCTCTCTTTCTCTCTCTCCCCACCCCCCACACACTATCCTCTGTTCTTCATTTTCTACCCTTTTTTCTCTTATATTAAGATCCTTTGGGGTCAGTTTGTTTTTCTGTTACAGAAAACTTGCGACCTTCACGTTCACCACTTGTGCTCTGTTGTGGTCTACTGTGTACGTTGGCATTGACAGTGTGCTGTGTACGTTCTGCATTGTAAAGGGAGCTTCACAGGATTGCTAGGAAAGTAAGAGGTCTGCCCCTAACCATTGGCTACTTTTAGATAAATGATTTATGACAGTCCATCCGTGGGTCACTTGCACACAGATCATTTCAAGACACTAACATACACTGGTTCTCTCCGAAGAGCCCCTTCCATGCCAACTCTGAGCAGTGGATTAAGAGGCTTGGTTGATGCTGAGGACAGGTTTGCCATCCAGAATGTGTAGCAGAGACACTCTAAAGGCCACCCACTCTGTACCTGAAGGGAAGCCACACGGGATATGGAGGAGCAGCAGACTGGGGCGCACTGGCCTGAGAACAGATTGCCTCCTTCTTGTGTAAGTTCTGCCACTGCCCAGACAAGTCACTGACCTCCCTGAGTCTCTACTCCACTGCC